AGAGAGAGAGAGAGAGAGAGAGAGAGAGAGAGAGAGAGAGAGAGAGAGAGAGAGAGAGAGAGAGAGAGAGAGAGAGAGAGATGGCACCCAAGAGATTGAGATGGCACGCAGAACACCGGGGCACAGATGTGTCTGAATGAGGCGCTGAATGCGTCCACATTTAGACACATCTGTGGCAAGCGTCGTTTCGGCCTTTTCCGCCCCCGCCCCCGCACCCTTTCCTTTTTGAAATTCGCAGCTCAAGGACGGCGGCCTGCGCCAACCCAGTGCGCGTGCGACGTCCCACGAGCAGCAGCTACCGGTCCAAAAGAAACTGCCACTAGCTGCCACTAGCCCCTAAAGTGACCTGCCTGCACGTGCCTGCATTTTTGGAGCCTTCAAACGACCAACCAGCCGGAATGAACGACCGGTATAACGACGACGACGAAAAATGTCTTCCGGGGGGGGAAATGCAACGCTTAGGGCTGCGAACAACGAGAAACAGGCCCCACCTATTTAACCTTGTCCTGTAGGCCACCCGCTCAGGTCACTGAGTTGTCGTGGGGACTATCGGTCAAATTCGGGTTGGGAACCACTTCAGCCCCAACGGGATTTGGAGCTCGAGAACATGTACAACGACAAACGGGCCCCACCTATCTAACCTTGTCATGTAGGGCCTTTGTAGGCTATCCGCTCAGGTCACTGAGTTGTCGTGGGGACTATCGGTCAAATTCCCTACTCTGAGGGCGGTCCTTACGGCTGGCAGTAGCTACAATAGGATGTTTTGGCAAATAATCAGCTATATGTTCAGGGACGCTGGACCAGATTTCCAGCAGGTGCAGGTGCGGCTCCCCCAGCAATAGACAGCCTCCCTGACAGTGATAGTGGGACTGCTCTTATCAGCACCCATAGCACTAGCTCGGGTTGTTCATCCAAAATCCAGAAAAAGAAAAGAAAAAGATATTCCAAAATAAGGGTTAATTGCAAAAATATTGCTTTTTCCAAGTCGAAGTTTCCTTTGCAAAAATAGAGGTTTCGTTGCAACTTYACCGGGAACCCGTAGTTTGCCAGCAAAAATGTCGCGTTTYGCCAAGTTTCACAGCAAGGGACCCGTAGGCCTCTGGCCTCAGGTACTAAGGCACTCAGCGTTCGGGCCTCAGGTACTCAGGGGCAGCGTTTTTTTTTTTTTTTTTTTTTTTTTTTTTTTGTTTTGCGTGGCCGTGGCCGAGGCATCACGGCAGTGGCCACGCCCGAGATGCCTCGGCCACGGTGGACATTTAAAAGAAACAAAAGCACCTGTACGCGTGGCTGTGCCACGTCCGCGATGCCTAGGCCACGCCCGCGTGAAAAAAAAAAAAAAAAAAGCAGAAAAAAAAAAAACAAACGCTGCCCGTGAGTACCTGAGGCCCGAACGCTGAGTGCCTGAGTACCTGAGGCCAGAGGCCTACGGGTCCCTTGCTCTGAAACTTGGCAAAACGCCACATTTTTGCTGGCAAACTACGGGTTCCCGGTAAAGCTGCAACGAAACCTCTATTTTTGCGAAGGAAACTTGGAACGGACAACATTTTTGCTGCCAAACTTGGAAAAAGCAATATTTTTGCTATTAACCCCCCAAAAAAAGAAAAGGAAAATAGAAAAGGGAAAAAAGAGTGCTCCCGTAGACGGGGAAACAGGGGATCCGCTAACGGCGAATGTGGAGGCAGAAAGGGGTGGGTTCTGTTAGCTCTGCACCCCACCCCGCAAGGAAAAGGACAGCGGGGAGCGGGAGTTCGATAAAGAGAAGAAGAGCAAGGAAGCGAACGGAACGTACGACTGGGGAAAAGCAGTGAACGCGGTCGAAGAGGAGGGTGAACGAACGCGGCCGAAGAAACGCGGCGGCCCACGGGTGAAGGTTGACCAAAACGCGGTGTGGAAAGTGACGACATAGGGAAGCACGCGTTCGAGACAGAGGTGGAGGAAGAGCAGAGAAGTGGGAGGGTATAAGGGTGATAACTGATAAGGGAATAGAACGCCGGAAGAAAAGCGAGCGGGAGAAGCAAGAGGGTTGAAAGGCGTAAGGATTCTGAGCGGCGAGGTCTGTATTGAGGCAACTCGTTTTGTCACGATCCTCGTGATTCGATTCGGGGTGCTCTGTGCGCAGTGTGCGTTATTCTCTCTTGGTTCAATGCGGGTGCATGGCGTTGATTGTGATGCAGTTCTCAGATGTAGGCAATCACATAGCAAATGCTCTCAGCTTGCAATCTCACTCTTTCTGTCTTTTGATGTGGTAGGCGATCACATAGCAAAATTTAATGCTGTCTTCTCTTTATTTCACTCGTTTTCTCGAAATCATCATTGGCATTGACTTGCCTCGCCTGGGCCTCTTCATATTCGTTTTGACGTGTCTTGCCTGGTTGTTTCTTAACAAGTGAATGGTGCGTTTAAACAAAAATCCAATCAGCGGATCACTTTGGCTATCGTTTTTCCGCGAGTAGAACTTACGTTTTAATTTTGCATATAGACCTGACCTGCTGGCGCTTAAGTACATGGGCAATAACCTTACGTTACGTTCTGTTCGGGGAAAGACAGTATGACACGGTATGTTCGCTGCTGCTGCTGCTGGTCAGCGGCTGCCTTTGCTTTCGCTTTTCTTGACTCGACTACCTTCCGCACGTCGTCGTTGTTGCGAGCGTTAACCCGACTTCTCTCCCTACGTGATCATTTCGGGCGTCGCCCCTTCTTCCCTAAGTAGTCACCACTGCGACTTCCTTTCGCACGTCATCATCGTTGTGAGCGTTCACGTGACTTCTCTCTCCACGTGATTGAACGTCTGCTGTGCTGTTTACCCGAAGAGAAATTATGGTCACTTTTGCCGTATCCCGTGCGTTCTATTCGGCGGAAAACGGAAAAATCACGGTAAGCCGGGAGAGGTGTCACTGTTGTGAGGCAATGTGAGCAAATCCTGTTGGACCCCAAACGATGGTGTTTGGCGTAATCTGTTGTATGGCGAAATCTGACGAGGGTGGGGCTTAGCGGACGTGAGCAAATCCTGTTGGACCCGAAAGATGGTGTTTGGCTTAATCTGACGAGGGTGGGCCTTAGCGGATGCAAGGCTGGTCAACGCGCGCAGTGATGACTAAATGGGTAAGGAAGTCGGGGCCGACGTTCGCAATCATGACTACGTTAGGAATAAAAGTCGGGTGAACGCTCGCAACGATGATGACGTGCGGAACGAAGTCGGGTCAAGGTTGGTCAACGCTGGCTATGGTGATTAGGTGCACATCGTTCATTGGGGACAGGTGGGTATTGGTGGGTATCGCGTGAAGCTGTTAGGTTTCACTGTGAGGATCCCTGTTGGGACGCGAAAAGATGTTGGGCAGCTTGGGTTAAATTTGACAAGGGTAGGTCTCAGCAGATGAAAGTCGAGTCGAAGCTCGCAAGATGCCTACGTGTGGATGGAAGGTGGGTCAGTTCGCAGGGAGAATTAGGTGCGGAGGGAAGCCGGTTTAAACCTCGCGGAGATGATGGCGCGCGGAGTAGCGGAGCAGCGGAGGGAAGTCGAGCCATGAACTGTTAAAATCCGGACCGGAGTTCGAATCCAGATGGAACTAGATGGTTCAACGTTCGCAATGATGATGACGACGACGGGCACGTTGTCCGTCTTGTATAGTGCTGCAGGAGTGCGGGTCCGTCGGTTCTTAATTCGTGGGCCGCAGGAGACCTGAGGGAGGAGAGCTACCGTCTTTACCCGAATAGAACGCCCGGTCATTATATCTGTATTTGGCACAACAATGACCGGGCGTTCTGTTCGGGCGAAGACTGTGCCCTTCGGGCCTTCGCGGAATCCCCCTTTTTCCAACCATCGCTTGTTGCTGTTATGCGTGTTTGGGTGTGAGCAATACAATTGCGGAGTGCAAACGGGTTATGGTGGGTTGGCATATAGGCTACCTTTTCGCTCCGGTACGGTTATGATGCGGGGGTGCTGTGTTCGGGGGAGGACGGGTGTTTGCTAGCTGTCTTGTTCTACGCTTCCTCTCCTCAGGTCCGGTTCTCTTCTCATCGATTGATGGGGTGCAAGTACCCGTCCTGCCCTCCTTTTTTTCCTGTTTAAGAAGGGCGACGGCGTTCAGATATCATCAGTTAGCTGACCGGCGCAGGTAAGTCATACGTGGACTTTTTCATCTGATTGCATGTGGATTCGAATAGTCTGTGAGTCTATATCCCAACAGTTCATGGGTATACCAACTTAGCTAGGCCCGTTGGTTCATGCCCATGCCCTCTTCTTGTTTCGGCTTCGTCTTCTCTTTCTTCGGACCTTAACCTTGGGGTTTGCGATGAAACCACCGAATTGAGTCAGACTCTATATCCCAACAGTTCTATGGTAACTGAGCTAGGCCCCCCAACAGTTCTATGGTAACTGATTTAGCTACCGTCTTCCCCCTAACACAACGCACCCTTATTTTGGCTGTATCTGGCCGGAAATATAGCTTGCATACGATCATTTTCAGGGTGCGTTATGTTCGGGGGAAGACGGTAGGCCTCCCAACAGTTGTATGGTAACTAAGCTAGGCTCGTTGGTTCGTGCCCTCTTGTTGTTTCGGCTTCCTGTCGTCTTTCCTTGAGCCTCTGGTTGGGGTTTTCCGGTAGAGATTGGGTAGAACTTTGGTTCGAGTTGCAGGGCATACTCGAAGTATAACTTTCGGGAATGAGCTCTGGAGGTAATCGCGGTCAGGTCTTTTTTGGAATGAGATCGGTAGCTCTTTTCCCGTTTTCAAATCCTCCCGTCCTCACGACTCCCCGTCTTCAATCAGGAATCTCGCGTATTGCAATCCCCCACCCTCTCCACCTCTTATCTCACAAGCTCCCATCTCTATCTCCCTCCCGTTTTTGGTTGTGATGAAGTCCTTCCTCCCTTCAAACAGGAATCTCGACGTATACTGCAATCCGCACCCCTTCCCACCTCTTATTTCACCATTTCTCAGCCGCTTCTCCCTCCCGTCCGTCTGTTTTCCCCGCCGCCCCCTTTTCAATAATAGTTTGACAAATTGACAATGCGTTTGTGTCGTGTGGTCATGCAGAAATATGTGGCGGCTGGAGGCGTGAAACTCGAAGAACGCTAAGAAGAGAACACGAACGAAGAAGAGTAGATGCGTGTTCTGCGCACCTTCCGGCGGTTTTATGTCTCCCTTGGTGTACGGAGAAAAGAGTGAGCTCTCGGTTGGTTGTTCTGCAGTCGTTGCATGTTCGATATGAGAGAGGGGACTTCAGGTTACCAGCCGACAGTGTTGGGGCAGCTGACCGTCGTGGGTGTTTTTCTGGTCCGAACTGGTCTTGTTGCTTGACGTCATTGTTTCGTCTCGAGGAAGTCGCCGCTTGGTAATATCCTGTGTGGATTGCGTGCCTGCCCATAAGAGGTCGAGTGCGAGCGCGATCATATCTGTACTGGTCTTTTGCTCATTGGTTAAGGACAATCGTGTGTATGTGGGGGGGGGTTCATTCTGCCTGCGCATCTCTGTGCATTCGTTCGCGTTTGTGGGGACACTCGTTAATCGGTCTGTCAGTGGGTCGTCTCATGTTCGGTTAGCGGTAGTTCGGTGGGAGGATAGGTTGTACGGTGTTGGGTCACTCTGCCCTGTGCGTGGGGACGCTCGCCCCTTTCCTTTGTCATTGGGATCGTGCTCGGCTATCGACCGGTAGTTCAAGTTGGTGCAAGGAGAGGTCCCCGACCGGTAGTTGCTGGAGCCTGGAAGGAAAGGTCCGTAAGATTCGCGGTGATTGATAGAAATGGATTACGTTAGGGACATGCGGCAGCGGGTTATGGAGTACTATAGAGCGGGAGGAGACAACACCGCAAGTCGGCGGAGGGTCATCGTAACGAGTGCCGCGGTGGTGGGTGGCGCATGGCTGTTCATGAGGCGGCGGAATCAAGTGTCAAGGGGCACGAAAGTGCCCACCCCGTCCAATCAGACGGCTCATAGGTCAGGGCTTGACACACATGAGGGACCCACTTCGAAAACCGCACCCCGCAAGTGAGCTAGGGAGGGAGGCACCGGGGTGAGCTAGGGAGGGAGGCACAGGCAAGATGGCGGCGGCCGCAGGCGGCGCATGGGTGGCGCGAGGGTTATGACGAGCCGGCGGAACGCTCGTAGGCGGCACATGGCTGATGATGAGGCGGCGGACGCAACTCCTGGAGGGAGACGAAAGTCCCGACGTGCACAACCACACGCGTCATAAGGCGGGTCTTGACTCGCATCATGAGGGATGGACTTCAAGAAAACACACCCCGTTCCAAACGAGCGAGGGGGTTGTGGGCTGTTGACAGGAGAGGGGGAGGGGACAGAAGAGTTCAAAGGGAATGTTTGGTCGGTGACAATCAGAATCCTTTGTGAAAATTAGGGAGAGGGAGAGGCCGAGGGGATGGTTGGTCAGGGGCATTCAGAACCCAGTGTGTATCCGGACGGATTATTCGTTCAGATGATTGTTGAGCTGGAGATGGAGAGGGAACAGGGAAGCTCCGAGGGTATGGTTGGTCAGGGGCATTCAGAACCCAGTGTGTATCTGGACGGATTGTTCGGTCGGATGGTTGTTGAGCTGCCATCGGTATCGAGACGGATTTGCGGGTCAAGGGGACACTGGGGAGTTTTGTCATCCTTCCGATGTATATGCGAAGGATAAGGTCACGTTCTGTGCCGAGGACGAGCTGGGCTCGCACGGCAGAATCACCCTGGCAAAAAAGAAAGAAGGACCGGACGGATTGTTCGGTCGGATGGTTGTTGAGCTGCCATCCGTATCGAGACGGATTTGCGGGTCAAGGGGAGACTGGGGAGTTTTGTCATCCTTCCGATGTATATGCGAAGGATAATGTCATGTTCTGTGGCGAGGAAGAGCTGGGCTCGCACGGCAGAATCGCCCTGGCAAAAAAGAAAGAAGGAAAGAATCGCCCTGAATCTTTGAGGACTCGCCGAGTTACGTGTGGATTGGAAAAAAAGGACTGTCCGAGATGGCATGCAGGATGACGCTGGGACGAAAAAAAAAAAAAAAGAGAAAGAAGGTGCAAGCTGACGTCTGAGAGGACTGCCGATATGCTGTGTGTCAGTAGTTCAGAATCGAGAGGAAGGAAAGAAAAGTGCTTCAGGTGGCACGTAGGTAATTGTACAGAGGGTAGACAGTGCGAGAAGTTCCGTGTGCATGGGCCGTTTGCCGGTGCACGAATTCTAGGTTGAAAGGGTGCTTGTGTCGTCTGAGAGGACTGTTGAAGTACTGTGTTGTTCATAGCTCAGAATGGCGAAAAAGAGGAGCAAAGTGCTACAGATGGCACGTAGATAAGTGTACAGAGGGGCCGGTTGCTCGTGCACGAAATGTAGATTGAGAGGTCTGTGTTGCCCGTTTTCTCGTGCACGAGAGTTGTAGATTGTGGTTGTAGATTGTGTGTGTGTGTGTGTGTGTGTGTGTGTGTGTGTGTGTGTGTGTGGGCCGTTTGCTGGTGCACGAGTTGTAGATTGTGTATGCGTGTGTGTGTGTTCTGATGGAATACGAAATGTGGTAATAAGACTTGAGGAGAGGGGGAGCTGGATATGGCTTTCTACACGGCAACGACTTGCAAGAAAGCAGGCGAGCTCTCCGAGCAGCACTGCTGTCCGTGTTATAGCTGTTTGGGCTGAGTCAGTAGTCTTCATCGCTTGGATGTTTACCGCTAAGTTGGGGTAGTTTTAGTGCTCATCATTTGTATAATAAAACGCACACCCGCCGAGGCCGTGATGGGGATTCTTCGGAGAGCTGCGTCGAAGGGGCACAAGTGTGGCATTGGTCGAGTAGCACGTTCTTTGGGGAGGCAACGTTTTTTTGGAGGGGGGGCGGAGAGAGAGAAGGAAGAGATCTCGCTCTCTCACTCCTGGTCTGTTTTCGAGAGAGGCAGCTGAAGGAATGTCGTGGATTGCCGAGGTCACGGCGAGGGGCATGAATTCCTGGGAGGCTGGGAGGCGGTGATCGGTGACCTTTGTGAACTAGCAATTGTGTTTTGGAGATGGACAGTACTCCGCACGGATTCCTCCATGACGGGTATCCGTGGCTGTTGTGGAGTAGAGAGAAAGGGGGAGAGAGAGAGAGAGAGAGAGAGGGTCTCTGCACGTTCATCATCAGGGTGTGTTATCTCCGGGAGTGACGTCGGTAGGTTTCCTGTCTTTCTGTGTATAGCGTAAATGATGGCTGCTGTGAAGTTGCTCTTCCACTTGACGTTTACAAGTACATTTACAAATTACTTTGGATGTGGGTTGTGTGAGGTCGGATTGTCGCCTTGCATTGTTTTCGCCTTTGGGGTCCACGATAGCGGTCGTTGAGGGGTCAATGATAGTTGTCGCTGGATCGTTTTGCATTCCCCTGTGTTACACCATTGACAGTTTTATCTACAGTCCTTGTCAGACGGTGTGTGACTGGTTTTGTTTTTTGTGCTGTCGACTACTCTGGGGCTCGACACGCCACACCACGCTTTCCTTTTTGTTTTTTTCTTTTGTTTTTTTTGCCTTGAAATGTGAAAAAGACGTGTGGCAGGTGCATCTTTTTGGCTCGAAATGTGAAAAAGACAAATGTGGCGGGTGCACCTGGCCATGTTCTAGCCTGAAGTTCATTCTCATTTTGCACATCTCGAGAGTGGTGTGGCTTTGCTCTATGACTGAAAGCCGAATCAAATCATTTGGCGTCGCCAGTTTTGCAGATGGCCTTTGGAAGTTTGGAGTTGTCATTGGCAGTTTTCTTTGGATGTCCTAGAATCCTCCCGCGGTCATTTGACACTCCTTACCCGCCGCGGTCATTTGACACCTTATCCGCCGCGGTCATTGGACTCTCCTGCATGCATTTAACAGCGATTCCAACTGGTCCTGCATGCACTTGACAGCAATTACGTCCATAGAGAGGTGGAGAAAGTCCTTATTATGAGCATGCCCGGAGACTGATTGAAATCTAGTAAGGATAGGATAACAGGTAGATTGAAATCTAGTAAGGATAGGATAACAGGTAGGTACGACCCACCACGGAATTTGTGGGACGTCTGCTAAAATTGGAACGATAGAGTGAAGATCGGTACGCATGGCGGCCATGGCACCTGGGAAAGGATGACACATTGAGAAATGGTTCGAATTTAGGGGGGGACGGAAAAAATCTGTAGGGTTCATCACCGGTTATCATCCCCAAAGATCTCGGGTGGGGTAGGTGCAGAGGGCACACGGGCATTTGAGGCCGTCCGATGTTAACATCTGGCAGCCGCAGGCCCATGTGATCTCTTTTTACCCGATCATGATCTTCCAGCCGCAAGGCCCGTCCTCCAATTGATCATGCGAAGCAGCTGAACCCGCCTTCGAGGACACGTTAGAAAATAGACCTTCCCGTTTGGATCACCATATGTTGTTCCAAATGGCGTTGTGAAAAAGAGCCCGTTGTTGAACGTACGTTGTCAAAACTAGCCCATTAGCAGCGGACGAGCACATGTAGCAGAGTTTATCCAAAACAATGACAATAATAAAGAAAAGATAAGAAAAAGAGGGAAGAATTGATTCCCCTCGAGGGCGAACGTGAGCAACTCTCATGTTAAACCGCGGCCGTCTGGACTCTGGATTGCAATCATTGGTGACATGTGTGTTCAGACTGTCTGCACTCTGAAACCAGTGGACTGAGCGGAGGAGCTGCTCGTCCAGTGGTGTTGAGATGAACTGTTGGCAAGTGATGGCCCGGGGAAAGAGCTTGTGTGACGAGAATTTGTTTGAAGATGCGGAAAGGTGTCACACTGTGACACGCTCAACGAGGAACTACGGTCACACCTTGAAAAATCCAAAGAAACCGGGGGGTTGCCGTAGCAGCGCCTATGACAACGGGCAATGCTGCCAGTCAGCTGTGATGGTGCGAGGAAAGGACAGCAGGTTGGGAGAGCACAGAGATATACGAGCATTGACCCAGATGAACGCCGCTGCCGCATTGACCCAGATGAAAGCCGCTGCCGCGGGGGTGCAGTCTGATTCACTTGTGGAGCAGTGCATCCATTACAACTCTGGGAGTCGGGATAGCTTCAGAAGAGTGAAGTGCCTTTTTTGAGTTTTGGCCTTGAAAGAGAGAAAGCGCAGATTGATAGTTCTTGAATTCCGGTTTAGGTAGCGATCCCGGACTATTCTCTTTGTGTTTGTGGGACCCAGTGTTGTTCTGCATGCGTGCGTCCTTCCCCGGGTTCCCCCGGCCCCGCAGATATAATTATCATGGAACTTAC